GGAGTGGGCGACAACGCGGCACCCCGCGAAGGGAAAGAAGGAGCGCGCGCGCGACGGCTGAGGCCGCCCGCCCCCCCCCCCCCCCACCCCCCCCCCCCCCCCCCCCCCACCCCCCCCCCCCCCCCCCTCCCCCGCCCCGCCCCCCTCGCCCCCCCGACCCCCGCCCTTCGGTTTTTGGCCCAGCTGGCGGAGCGCCCGCGCCTCGGCGGCAGTCGGCCGCCGCCAGCCGCCTCGGACAGCGCGGGGGCGGCGTCCGCGAGGAAGCCGCAGACCTCGGGGGGGGGGGGGGCGCGGGGCCGCGGGGCTGGTCGGCGAGCACGGGGCAGGGCTGGTCGGCGAGCACGGCGCAGCTGGGCGCGGCGAGCACGGGGCAGGCCTGGTCCGCGACGATGGTTCACCGGGCGCTCCGACGTGGCGATCCACGAAAACACCCAGCGGATCTGACGTGTCACCTGACGGCGGAACCTCAAAACACCCCAGCGGATCCGACGCATCACCTGATGGCGGAGCCTCAAAGACCCCCAGCGGATCTGACGCATCACCTGACGGGGTCAGAGGCTCCAGGGGCGGCGAGATACTGCAAGACCATGCAACCTTTAGAGGACTCGTCGGCACCATCGACGTCGGAGACAGCGACGGAGACGGCAGCTCTGTGGGAATCGACTGATTCTCCGACGGCACGTCCGTCGGAGAAGGAACCCCCTTCGCGCCGTCAATCTTCTGGGGCAACTCCTCCTTCTTCGGGGTCGGGGGCGACTCCAGCCGCCGCGTTTTCACTGGTGCCGACCGCGGCGGGGAAGTTGGAGGTGGCGATGCACTCTGAGGTTCAGTGAACTCGGGCGTCTCGAGTTATGTGGAGCTTCCTGCCCCTCGCTGAGCCTCCTCCATCTGCGGCGCAAGCCATGCCCCCCCCCCCCCCCCCCGCTGAGCCGACGTGGGCTACGGTGACCCCAGCGGCCTCGACATGGCAAGCGGGGGGTGCGGGGTAGTCTCCGCCTCCTCCTCCTCCTCCTCCGCCTCTTCTTCTTCCTCCTCCACCTCCTCCTCCTCTCCATGCCCATCCCACCGCCGCCCTCCCCGCCATCCCCCCCTTCTGCCTTTCTCCTCGTGCGGCAAGCTGGCTGAAGAGAATGAAGATAATGATGGCTGAAGAGTGCAAGAATACTCGCGTGGATACCATCGTGACACCCCCATCAAATAAACTACGCTACACCTGACCCCCTGCACTGAAAACTGCGGCTGAGGGACCCTCGCTGGGACGCAAGAGTTCACGAGCGTATAAAACCTGTAAGACATACACTTGCGCGTGAAAATATTTGGTGTACAATTCATTTATACTTGGGAATTACATGGGAAATCATCAAACATTTTCTCGTATTGCTGGAATTTATCGCAAGTAATTTCGCGGGCCGTTTACTTGATATTGATTCTGTATCGTTCTACAGGGCCGCTCAACGAATGTGAGATCGATTGTGAGATCGATAGTGAGATCGATGGTGAGATCGATAATCAGATCGATCGAATGGAACAGATCGAGTGAGATCGATTGCGAGATCGATCGAGTGAGAACAATCGAGCGAGACCGATACTGAGATCGATAGTGAGACCGATCGAGTGAGACGTTGGTTCCTCCCCCCCGAAACTCCTTATCACCCGAAGGGTAGTCGTATAGGTATGTATGTATATGTATATGTATATGTATATGTATATATACACATGTCTGTATATGTGTATGTCGGAAAACGGAACGGAGAGCTCCCCTACCGAGAAATCGGTTTCGGTTTCGTGTTCGTGCGTGCCGTGCGTGCGAGGCGAAACTGCCTGGGCGGGCGAAGAGAAAGTCTCCTCCGGCTGAGGCGCGGCCGGACCAAATGATTCCTTTCCGGAGGCCGGTGGCCCGCAGTGTCCCGCCGGTGTCCCGCCTCCGACTGAGGCCCGGCGGGACCAAAGGATTCCTTTCCCGGGGCCGGTGGCCATCGGTGTCCCGCCGGTGTCCCGCCGTTGTCCCGTCGGTGTCCCGATGATGATGATGATGATGATGATGATGATGATGATGATGATGATGATGATGATGATGATGATGATGTCGATGATGATGATGATGATGATGATGATGATGATGATGGTGACGATGGTGCCCCGATGATGGTGATGATGGTGATGATGATGATGTTGACGAGGTTGATGATGGCTGCGGGCGTGTTGATGATGTTGATGATGTTGACGATGTTGGCGATGTTGACGATGATGATGTGCCTGTGGCGGAAAGGCTGCGGGCGTGGTGCCGGGGGCCCGTGGGTGCAGCGCTCTATGGGGCAGGTGGTTGGGCTCTCTGTCAGAATAACGTACACTTCGTTGAGAAGATGGGAGTTTAATCATATTAGGGCTTTCCTGAACATGAAGAAAACCAGTGAAACGGAGGGAAATCACGAGTACAACCGGCGCACCAACCGGAAGATGTATGAGAATTTCGTAAATTACAAGTTGGATCCGATTTACGTGGTCTTGAAGATGACGTTCAATTGGGCGAAGATTTGGTGGACATTCAAGTCAGACGATGGCGCCAGACCGCTTTATGACTACATGAATTGACGCCCCGCGGCCACTTGGGAAGAAACGAGGACTCTGTGCAAGAAGCGGGACTACAACAACCTTACAGGGTGGGGACACCAGCACAGCGGCAGGAGACTCTGTTGGGAAGACGGCCTGAACAGCTCATTGCCGCATTGGAGGCGGTACCTTGGCACACTTACCGGAAGGACTATTTGAAGAATATCACGTTGGAGTACAATTTGAAGACGGAGGGCCTCGCTGGTTTCCAGCAGACTCCCAGACCAAGCAATTTTGCACATGGACGGAAGAAAAGAAAGTGCTCAGATCTGGAACCGGCGAGTGGCGGTTTCTTAGCCTACGACCAATGGGCCGTATCGGATTCATTGGGCGGTAATCTTTACAACACGGTTTTGGCAGATTGTTTGTGGGAGAGGCCCCACACACTCGAATTCGTAGCCGACAACGAGACACTCGTGAACAGAGTTTCTGGAATTGCAGCGGCCGGAGACGCACACAAGGACATAATAGCCCACGCGATCGGTAACATCTCAGAGATGATGGTGGGGCATAATTGGAGGCCCAGGTGCACCGACAGCAGCCCCATCAAGTGGTTACGAAGGGAGTTCAATAAAGAGGCCGATTATGTTGCCAACCTCTGCATGGACGCACGGGAGGACTTCGAGCACGTCAACACGGAGTTTCTGAACATTCACATGGGGAACATCGCGAATATACAATGTTGGAGCGACGGGGGACACCGCCCAGAACATGGAATCTCGAGCTTCGCGTGGGTAGTCAAAGGGTGGGTCAATGATCACGGACCACGTATCCTTGCAGTCGGAGGCGTATTTCAATCTTACAGTGCGAGCAGCAGTTAAGAGGTAGAAGCAAAAGGTCTCGACAAAGCTACGGAGGTATGCTTGGGAATCATCAGTGGCACTATCAATACTACCAATACCAGCCAGAGGTGTTCAGCAAGTAGCGGTAACAAGGGCGCCAAGTCTTTCGAGGCCCTGGTGAAGGAGTGATGTGGCAGGTTCCAGGGCAGGCTCGGTGAGATTGACCTCAATGCCGATTGAAACAGAAACATAACAGATGTTGATGATGATGATGATGGTGATGATGACGATGGCCATGGTGGTGATGATGATGGTGTCCCGGTGATGATGATGTTGATGCTGCGGATGTTGCTGGTGATGATAATGATGGTGTCCCGATGATGATGATGATGATGCGGATGGTGATGATCATGATAATGTTGATGATGCTGAGATGATGAGATGATGGTGATGCTGATGGTGATGAAGGTGGTGAGGATGGTGTCCCGATGATGATGGTGATGATTAGGTTGATGATGATGCTGTTGATGATGATGCTTGTGATGATGATGATGATGGTGTCCCGATGATGATGATGATGCTTGTGATGATAATGATGATGATGATGGTGTTGATGATGACGATGCTGGTGTCCCGATGATGATGGTGATGATGATGAGGATGATGTGGTGATGATGGTTTTGATGATGGTGGCCCGATGATGATGATGCTGATGTTGATGATGATGATGATGGTGTCCCGATGATGATGATGCTGATGATGATGATGATGATGGTGGTGTTGATGATGAGGATGATGATGATGGTGACGATGGTGATGGTGTCCCAATGATGCTGATGATGATGTTGCCGATGATGATGATGATGATGATGATGATGATGATGATGATGATGGTGTCCCGATGATGATGGTGATGATGTTGTGCGTGATGATGTTGAACTGATGATGATGGTGGTGGTGCTCCGATGCTGCTGATCATGATGGTGTCCCGATGATCAGGATGTTGATGATGATGATGATGATGATGATGATGATGATGATGATGATGGTGACGATGATGGTGTCCCGATGATGATGATGATGATGATGATGATGCTGATGATGATGATGATGACGATGATGATGGTGGTGATGATAATGGTGGTGAGGTGATGATGGTGTCCCGATGATGATGATGTTGATGACGATGATGTTGATGATGATGAGGTCAATTGTGAGATCGATAGTGAGATCGATAGTGAGACCGAATGTGAGATCGATTGTGAGATCGATAGTGAGATCAATTGTGAGATCGATAGTCAGATCGATTGTGAGACAGATCGAATGAAATAGATCGAGTGAGATCGATTGTGAGATCGATCGAGTGAGATCGATCGAGCGAGACCGATAGTGAGATCGATAGTGAGACCGATCGAGTGAGACGTTGGTTCCTCCCCCCCCGAACCTCTATCACCCGAAGGGTGGTCGTCTAGGTATACATAGATACACATACATATGTATCCTATACACATATGCATATACATATACATCTACGAATACACATACATGCACACATATGTATGACTGGGGAGCGATGTCCAAAAGTGATGTGGCTAACAATCGCGGGGCCTTGAATTGCGCCGAGGCGACGTTGAGGACACCAGATGTCATGGACATCACTGTAAAGGCGCCGCCCTCAGCGAGCACGAGAAGTACACAAATGGAAACCATCGGGGGTAAAGACGCGAAGCTCCCAACCATGTGAGATGGAGAGGACTGTGAGAAGGGCCTGGGAGAGGAGCAGCACGCGGGGGTGGCGAATGATTGCGGACGGGGATGATCACCAGCAAGACCAAGACAAGGAATTGACAGAGTGTGGACAGCGTGGGGTAATGATGACTACTTGTGATCTCCCCACTGGCAAACGGACAAGGATGATTCGTTCGCTGCTGTCGAAGGGTGGCGGGGCCGCCCCACACAGAGACCCCGCTCAGCTTAGTTCACCCGACAGAGCCAAGTTCTGGATGGAAGAGGAGAGGAGGAAGAATGTGAACACCGATCCACACAAGAGAAATGATGCGGTTGTCAGGGTTCGTAGTTCGTGATGTGTGCGAGTGGCGACGACGACAATCGGGACTACTGAACAAGACCATCGTAACTTTACGATTCGAAGGTAGCATGCTTTGTCAAGAAAGCGCTGCCTTACTTACCATCAATTGTCGCCTGTTTGATACTCATCCCTGGCTAAGGGCGGTTCAATGATCGCGAAAATGGAGGTCACGAAATCGTACCACCTGAGCCGCGCGGGCGCTGGAGGTGAAGCCTTTCGATCGTAGAGCGCTGGCGAACCCGTCTGCGCGCGACACCTTCCCCCCCGCGATAGAGCCAAACAAATGTCATCCGCGTGTGTGAATGGGGGGGCGCGCTGATGGTAAAACCATTTAACATTGAATCCGGAATCGGGAGATCGGATCGAATCGGAAAGAGCAACGGATCGGGCCGGATCGGCACGGAGCCCAAATCGAATCGAATCAGCCTCGCCAACGTGCACAACGGCGCCATGCGAACACTGGACCGCATCAGATCGTCGGCAAATCGTCAAAATCGAATCGAATCGGGCCAGATGAAATCGGCATCAAATCATCAATCGGATCGAAGTTCGCCCTGTAGCGGCAACGGGGAAGGGCGGCGCGGCTGGCAGCTAGCACCAAACCACGGACCTCGCGGAACGCTTGCAAAGCTGGCGCAAGCAGGCCCCAGCGGCAAACACAAACCATCACAACCCACCACAACCACCACCACAACCACCACCACAAACCACCACACCCCCACCACCATCACCACCACCGCAGCCACCATCACCAAAACCCACCACCACCACCACAAACCACCACACCGCCACAACCACCACGACCACCACCACCACATTCCACCACCACCACCACCACCACCAGCATCACCAGCAGCAGCACCACCACCACCAAAACCACAGCCCAACACCACTACCACCACCACGACAAACCACCACGCCACCACCAACACCACCGCCACCACCACCACCACCACCTCAACCCACCACCACCGCCACCACAAACAACCACATCACCACCATCACCACAGACACCACCACCACCACCACAACCGCAACAACCCACCATCACCACCACAACAATCACCACCACTATCACCACCACCACAATTATACCACACCGCCACCACCACCACCACCACCAACACCACCACGACCGCCACAACAACCGCTACCACCACGCGCAGCACAACCCAGCACCACCACAAACCACCACACCACCACCATAACCACCACCACCACCACCACCGCGAACCACCACACCAGCACACCAACACCACCACCACCACCACCACCACCACCGCCACAACCACCACCACCCCACAAAAACAACCTACCACCGCCACCACCACCATCACAAACCACCACATCACCACCACCACCGCCAACACCACCACCCACCACCAAAACAACCTACCACCGCCACCACCACCAGCACAAACCACCACATCACCACCACCACCGCCACCACCACCAGCACCACCTCAACAACCCACCAACACCACCACCACCACCACGACCACACACCACCACACCACAACCACCATCATCACCGTCACCACCCCCACCACCGCCACCGCCACCACCACCACCACAACCCACCACCACCACCACCACGACTACAAACCACCACACCACCACCACCCACCACCACAAGCACCACTACCACAACCAACCACCACACCACCAACACCACAACAACCATCACCGCCACCACCACCACCACCCACCACCACCCACCACCACCACAACCAGCACCACCACCACAACCACCACGACAAACCACCACACCACCACCACCATCACCGTCACCACCACAACCCACCACCACCACCACAACTATCACCACCACCACCACCAGAAACCACCACACCACCACCACAACCCACCACCACCGCCACCACCACCACAGCCCACCACAACCGCCACAATAACCACCACCAAGTGAAGGTCGCTGGGGGGGCAGCGTCGCTTCCAGGGCCAGTCAACAGCAATCCTTACGGCCGCCCTTCGCGAAAAGCTCTGATCTCAGGTTTGCTCTTGCCGGCGATTGGGCTGCTCAGGCTTGCTCTTGTCCTACAAAAGCATTGCCCTCTCCTCCGTCGCCCCAGAAGCACAGATCGCGTTCGGTGCCCCTCAGCGAGCTTCAAACCACCAACACCAACACCAACACCAACACCACCAACCACCACACCACCACCATCACCACCACCACCACCACTACCACCGCCACAACCACGAGCACAAGCACCAGCACCACCACTCCCCACCACCACCACCACCACCTCACAGAGGCCCCAATAGACGCTCGAGAGGCGCCCAGGAAGCTTCACGAATGCATGTCTGGTGCCCCCGAAAACCCTCCGACGAGAACCCACGAGGCATCCATTAGGACATTCGTACTCTGACCCAAAACCAAGGCATGGTGGCGGTGCGTCGTCGTCGTCATCGTCGTCGCCGTCGTCCTCGTCGACGCCCCACGCCGCCGCCAGCCGCCGCAGGCGCCGGCCCAGAAAAAGAAAACGTCGTCTTCATCGACACTCCCCGCCGCCGCCGCCAGCCGCCGCCGACGCCGGCGCCGGCCCGAAGGGCAGGGAGAGATGAGGGGGGGGTTCGAAACCCCCCTCCATCACGGAAAAGGGGGGGGTTCGAACTGTAGATGTGTAAGCTGCTCATGCTCTGCCATGTCTACTGCTCTCTCGCTACTGCTGTGGGGAATTCGATGCACGTCTGAAGACTGACGAGTTTGGGTTCGTTCGAGCCTTCTCGTTTGGGCAGACCGTAAACCTCCCTCAAAGTAGTATCCACAAATATCGCACAACGTTTCCTAAGACAAACGTCGTCCACCCCAGCTGATCGTTTGCATGCGTATGTCGATACGGTTGATGGCATGGTCGTGTTGCCACGACGTTGTCCTTGTTCTTGGGCCATCGCGTTTGCAGTTCAACCCAGCTCAAGCCCTGTCGCGTCGCCACGACTTCGACTTTGGAAAAATAATGCCTTGCGCGTGATGGAAGCCGAAACGGACAACGAGGGAACCGACCTAATCGGTCGGCTAAATGTTCTCTCAAGCTCGCCCCAGGGCCACAACGAACAACGAGGGAACCGACCTAATCGGTCCGAAAAAGTCCGCTCAAGCTCGCTGGCTGGGCTGCTGTCTACAATCAGTCAATTGCCTCGCGGTGCGCTCTACTATGCATAGTTCTTCATTTTGCCGAAGACTTCACTGAGTCTCTCTGATTCTGTAATTGGGGGGCTGAAGAGTTCAATTATCCACCCGCCTCCTCCACGTCCTTCAATGACGTCTTAATTCCCCCATAGCCTGGCGAAGTTCTGGTCCTGGTCATGATGCCAGCATGCCGCCCGCGGTGTTCTTCGCGAGCGGACCAGCCGCGGTGTTCTCCACGAACAAGCCGTCGGCTATATCACGAATCGGCTGCAAACCGCGATGTTGAAGCGCTCGCTGAGCATGTTCCATTCAGCCGAACCCAGACCGCCTCAGGCCATCAAAAGCTCGGTAAAAGCGCAAAGCTGGAAGTCTGAATTTGGGCGTGCTGTCACTGTAGAACCATTCCCTTGAGGCGCGCTTGCAAATGCGGTGCGTTGATGTTTGCCTGCAGGAGGGCGAGTACCATAGTACCCCCCCGCACCGCAACTCAGACTCCTTCCAAGGAGGCAGGGGTTCCATGCACATCTGCCTCAATAACCTGCACACCTCTGGCGCCATGGAGGACGTTGCGCCCGGCCGCCAGCCAGGCCTTCCAGATGGGGGGGTGCCCGCCCGCGGCGACCTCCGCGTGCTTGACGCCAAGCAACAAATTAGAATGCGCGAACAGAGCGTCAGGGCACGCGCGCGCGATGTCGTGCATCTCCTGGGCGTTATCGTAGCTGTCGAACGTCTTGTTGGCCACGCTCTTGATCTCCATTTCGATGGCCGCCTCCGCCTCCGGACACTTGGCCTCGCGGGAGTCGAGCTGAACTCCGCGATGCACCGCGGCGCAGCCCCGGGCGGCCTCTGCACTGCAGTATTCGAGCTTGTCCACGTCGTCACCCATCACCTTCAAATGAGCTGCGAGTCGAGTGCTAGGCCAACCTCGTCCGGCTCCTCGAATCCGCCCCCAACTGTGGAAGGGGCCCCTGGATCTCCTCGTCGACGCTGGGCGTCTCGAACATAAATTCGGCGATCGTGGCGTCATCGGAGCGGGCGCCTCCGGCGGGGCCCGCCGGCGCAGGCGCCCGCGCGTCGACGACCTCCGCCTGCGCCTGCTCCGAGTCGCCCATGCGCGCGCGTCCCCCCAGAACGCATCTGGGCCCCTCCTCGTGCAACGCGTTCCCTGGGGTTTTACTCTGGAGACGGCGGGCCTTCGCTGTGCTTCCCCAGCAGGCGGGGCAAGTGGCCTCCAACGTTGTCGTGTATTCACCGCGCGCCTTGCAACTTTCAGCTCCCGGGGGCGCCGGCGCTTCTTGTTCGGGCGCTCCCTCGCGCGGCGCGAGGAAATGCCGCGCCACGTAGGGCTTCGCCGCGGCCTTGCTGATATCCCAGATCGGAAAGCGAGAAGAACCAGAGGGGAACTTGACGTCGCGCGCGGTGCGAAACGAAATGACACCTCGGCGCGCGAACGGCTCCAGCCTCAAGAACATCTAGAAGTTGCGGGCGCCGCAGCCCGCGAGGACACCGAGTTTGTCTCTCGGCTCGAACTTCGCCAACGTCGTGGCGCCATGGGAGCGCGGCTCCTTGGCGAAGAGCACCAGGCGTCCAAAGGGGTGCAAATCAAGGGTGCCCTCGCATTCGTTCTTCAAGGTGCAAGGCGCAAGTCTTTCACCGTGCCCAATTCGGTTCCAATGCTCGGTCCGGAACGCTGCTGCCGGAGAAAACCACTGGTGTGAGAATCCAGATTGGCAGCAAACGGCGCGGGCCGCTTCCCCGAAAATTCGGCGCCGGCGCTCTTTCCGGCCGAACGTCTGCAATCTTCTGGGGGCGCGCTGTGAGATGTCGATGGTGGTGCGGCGACAAAACGCCTCGAAGCGCCCGGCGCACTCCCCGCCCCAGTCTGGGCGCGCGGCCGCGATGGGCCGGATCAGAAAGGCACGCGGCCGCGAAGGAGTCAGCGACGGCACTGGGAGTCCTGTTGCCCGGGCACGCATAGCGCAAAATCCGAATGCTCGTCTCGGCCACGGGCCCCACGAGATCAAGATGGAACCGAT